ATTAAAACGCTTCATGTTAAAAACATCCAATTGCTGATTATTAATGAATTTTATGTGTTAAAAAATTAAAATGTATACATTTTCAGTATTATTTCCACCATAAACTWTGATATAATATTGTTACCGTATTTACAGAATACAAAAATAAAACAATCCTTCAAGAGCTAAGAAATCTGCAATGGTTAAACATAATCATCTTCGCAATACGTAATCAAGTAGACTTGCCAAAGTCGAACTCGATTATTATTTTGCGAGCGAAGCAAGCTAGAGAATTGGGCAYGTAAATCGACACGCGCCCACGAGCCGTAAGTCGAGTTCGTCTCTTGTGCTGGGAGCTAAAGAAATTCGTACGTAAATTGATTTTTATGTTGTTATTGTACTTTCTTTTTGTCYCTTGGTCCCACACATATGACCATCCACAGAAACGTCGATCCAACGAAAACAGCTCTGATCACCGTGAGAGAAAACTTTGGCAAAACTGTTAAAAAATGGAAATGAAAAGATCAATATCAAAATTGTACATCAACGGAAAGAAGCCGAGAGTATCAGGGATTGACGTAATAATTCCGTAATTCATCCATCAATTGTGTGAGCTGTTGCCGAAGATTGTTTCCTGCATAATGCGTTCCTAGTTACAGCAAAATAACATAGTGCTTGCCTATTTTACCAAGGGAGTAGCCACAAAAAATAAATGAGGACAGAAGAGGAAAAAACTAAAAGAGCAAAAGCTTGGAGCGGGTAGCCCGCGTGCAGTCGGTTTATACAGTCCTTTACCTAAACATTGTCGTTTGATTAGCTTYATGTCTACGCGTCAGGACCAAAAAGGATTATGGGGATAACCAATTCACAGTTGCTAGMTACCGCATATATTGGCTGACGCGTCTTGAGCTCACTGTTTTCGATCCCAAGTAATTTTCTAAAATCATGCCTTGAGTATATGGAGAAGATTTACGCGCATTGATAGAGRACAAATTATTATTCAAGTGACTTTACCCTACCCGTAATTCTTTTCGGTCTAGGCGCGCAGGGATGAAGCCCATCAACGACAGCGTAAGTCAAAGGATTGCATTACTTATAACAACACTGTTATTTCAAGTGATTATAAACCAACAGCGCGCAGGCTTGGCGATTTGAACGAAGCGTGAAAAGCAGAATCCACTGGATAAACCCTTATTTCGGGGATAAAATTCCCACAAACGTTATTGCATTACGAAACTAAATTATCCATATCTTTGTATAACCGGCTTTAGAGAGGAATAGAGAACATAGGAATGGATGGAGGATGACGGGAAATGACGTACCTCCAGTGTCCATGTTCCGTGAAGAGAGGACGAGGTCAACAAGTAGAAATAACATGCACCTTGTAAACTCCATGTAAGGTGCATACCACCTGGAAAATGTGAATGGAAACAAAACAATGAGAAATGATAGAAATGATATATTTTCATGTATCCTCAAAGCCTGATCCCTTATCGAAAAAAATCGCTGAACCCTGATTCCACATTATCCCTGAACCTTGAACTCAAAATATCGCTTAATCTTGATCACAAAATTCCGCTATTTCCTGATCCTAAATTGTCCCCATGCCAAAACACCACATGTGAAAACACCACTGATTTCCGAATACCACTGATCAATGATTCCAAAATATCCCTTATCCCTGGGAACTCAAAATATCCATAATTCCTGATCTCAAAATATCGAAGACCTGCGATATCAAAATGTCCCTCAATTCCTGATTTCACAATATTTCTTATTCCCGAGATAACTAAAATATCGTTGAGCCTTGATCCCTAAATATCACTTGTCCCTATGCTAAAATATAACTGCTTGTGGTTTCAAACTGRTATCTCTGATACCCTAGATTAAAAYAYAGCTGAGCMTTGATCCCCTAGTATCCCTAGTGATCCCTAGTGCTTAAATATCCCTTATCCCCGATTCCACAGTATCACTGATCTCCGAGATTAAAAATATTTCGGATCATTGCTCTCTTAAAGGGCTACTAGGACGAAAATTGCGAAACATTAGAAAATACTTGGAAATCAAATAGACCTATCCATATGGGTCTAACAATCATGAAGCAACAGATTTCAATAAGATATTGATACAAATCCTTAATAATTTGAGTAAAAAATGTTGGAGTAAATGACGTCATTTACTCCATCCTTTTGTTCTTACATCTTTTGAATCAAAATTTATCTGATGTGGGATAATTCAAAACCAAATATTTTCCCGCAATTGTTTTTAAATAGATATAAATGAGTCATATATTTGTAATGATTGCTTGAAGTTTTGAAATAAGGGCATTTTCATTCAAGTAGCACTTTAAAGGGACACTGTCAATGGATGACATGCGCAGTAACAGTCTTGCCTCTAACGGATTTTGAAAGTATTACCTTCGAGGAAAATCAATGTTTTGACACACTTTGGAATATTCTAGATCTGTTTACGTTTACGAGTACTTTTTTGTCATGCGTCGCGCCAACTTGGAGTCGTAAACTTGAAAACATTAGCCTAATCTTTTCAAGTTTACTCGCGCATGTCATCCACTGACAGTGTCCCTTTAAGATCTTACATGTAACCTTCCTGTCTGTTTACTGTACTCACTTGCAATCAAACTGAGCTCCAATGGACGTCATGGTAAAAATCAAAAACAGAACCACGCCCCACACATTGACAGGATTTAACACCTGGGGAAAAAAATGAAGTACATTCTTCTATAATGTAGTTTTCGCATTTTTTTCTGGTTAAGATATCTTTCATAATATTTTGATGGGTGATAAAGGAGAAGGTATGAAATTATGATATTTTAATGCAGTTTTTAAGAAGGGCGCTGGAGGAGAAGGGTGTGTGGCGCCAAAAAATAACAAAAGTGTGTCATTTGGAACAACCACCTCTATTTTTGCTAATACATGTATATCAACCATAATCTCAACATGTATTTCATCAAATTCAAGGGTTTTCCAGGAGTTTGAACAATTTTCCTCATTTTCAAGAGCTTTTTAAGCGCCCTTGAAAACAGGTTTTCAACTCCAAGACTTTTCAAGGGTTTCAAGGAGTAGCACAAAAACAAATAATAAGCTGTTAAAATGTTTTCGTACGTAGGATTCATTATAAATATTCAGTTTTGTTCCTTCTACGTGTGTTTTAATATTCCGAGCTTTCGGACAACTTGTTTTGTTTACATTTGTATCCTCGCGCACGCATTGTAATTTCATTTTGCCCTGATGATGGACAAGTTGTCCGAAAGCTCGGAATATCAAAACACACGTAGAAGGAACAAAACTGAATATTTAAAATAATAAGCTTCCGGTCATTCATCAAGATTTTGTTTGTATTTCCTAGGATGGTAGTTACCATGTGTTTTGAGAGAAGCTGTACGTAGGCMAGTTGGAATATCAAAGCGTGACAAATAGCATACACATTACAACACATTGGTGGAGCACTATCATACTTCATGATGGGATACTCAATCTGTAAAAATATAGAGAATACTAGCGTTAGATTTCTGACAATTGTGTCGGTGTTACATCGGAGCTGCTTCGGAGTAACATCGGAGATACKTCGGTGTTACATCGGAACTGTATCGGTGCTTATGATCAAAAAGCTATAAAAAGCTGTAAAGTCTAAAACAGTTGACGCCTCGAATGTTACTGGGGCTAATTTAGAGGAGTCGCACGTGACCCCTTTTCAAATCCAAATCATTTGAAAAAAAAATGGAAATAGAAATATCGCTGTGAGTAAAGTGAGAATATTTGTCTAACTTAGCTTTATCACGGAAGAAAATTAGTTAACCCGTTTCCCTGTCATTTTCCTGCAAAATTTGCAACCTGGATACGGTGCCTTCAAAACCTCAGCACTACTTTTTGAAAACCTCAGTTCTTATTCAAATACATTTGCTGATTACAAAAATTACTTTGGACTGATTTTCTTGGACATTTGATTCAGTCAACGGAGACCCTGGTCTATTGAGACCCTAGTGCCTACCTGAGGAAGGTCATCAGGGTTTCCAAGACGAGGTGTACCAGGGGCCCATCCTGGTCCTTTAAACAGCACTGAGAGCTGAAAACAGAACATGGCTTGGTAAACCTTAAAGACATGTACCTTCATGTTGAAGGTAAAGAAACAAAAACTAACTTACCTTGTTATTTATCCCCTCAGCTCCCCAAAATGTATTCCAAATATGGTGATAGTGACAGATCTTAAAAACAATAAATTACAGTAAAACTGTAAGGGACATTAAGACGCAAGTACATGTACTTTCGCGAACCTTTGCGTGAATTTTTCGCGTATACGAAAAAATTGAACCACTCAGAACTAGCAACTTTCGGCAAAAGATTTTTACTTTAAAACAAACAACAACAAAGAAATAAATAATACTTTCTTTATACTATGTTAAATAGTATAATTAAAGAATATAATGCAACCAGCAATAGACCTAATTCAAATCCAATTCAAATCCTGCGGAAAAAAGAACTTAGAACTGTTTCTAGGAATTTAACTGTGAAATGAAAATACAACGAATAATGAAACTTACTCCCAAATGGTTTGAATTCGGTGAAAACGTTTATAGCAACGCGTTAGCCGATTAGGTCTATTAGTTAGAGTAATTCTTGGAGGGTGCCCGGGGGAGGGTGCAAATATACTTAACGGTCGCAAGTGTTTATAATAGATAGTGCACTTTTTAGTTGAATAGAACTACTAAGTGAAACATTTGGTAAGATTTGGAGGAGGTTCGGACTTTGGCTTCTTTTGTGGCTCAGAATCTCAGGTTCAGTCCCATTACTACCTTAGGTGCCATCATCCTGCCCTCTTCTATGAATCCACCTCACGTTCCAACCCTGAAGGTCTTCCCTCCATAAGGAACTTGCCATCATACCTGCACCCATATAGGATTCCAACTGGCCACAGGATGGACCAGACCATAAGCTATCTTTTCTGAAGACTTTTCTTCCTGGAAGGTTCCTGCAATGTAAGTGCGACAATGAAATATCAAACCAACATKACAGCAAATTGGCAATATAAGTTCAAAAAGTCGAAAATCTGTGACGTCAWGTCTGCGCTGCGCTATTGGCTTGTGACTTTTAAATACATTTTAGAAGGCAGCTGCCATATCAAAGACCATCCAAAACTATCGATATTTCATTACATACACATGACAGATCACGGTATGTGCTCTAGTTTATAATGGTGGGACCTAGCGGTAAACTAGTGTGAGCTGCGTCGGTGTTTCTAAAGAAACAGTTATGTAATAAGATAAATTAAACACCGTAAAAAAGTATGTGGAATAACTTACCGACGTTTCGGACGTTAATCCTTCGTCGGAGTAAAAGTCACTCCGACGAAGGATTAACGTCCGAAACGTCAGTAAGTTACAGTACTTCTCCTACTTTTTTACGGTGTTTAATTTATCTTTTTACACAACTGGCTCTAATTTATACTTCACTTACCAAATAGTCTGTCCCAAATGATAAGTGTTCCTCCTGGAATTGAAAAAGACTTATACTTAATCCCAGATTTAACAGCTCATATAACCAAATGTTGACGATTTAGTTAACACACAATGAGAGCATGAGGCCTAATCATTCAAGTATTTTACACTCACCATAGTTTTTATCAATACAGTATGGGTTGCGTCCTGTAAAAAAAGAGTTCAAACCATCAACATCAATGATGAGGGAGGCTATAGTGTTGGTCCCTGAACAAAACAGTACATGTACATCAATTCAGTTAAATTTCACCTTACCATGGTGAACCCTATGATGACTTGCAGTGTTTAAGATGTATTCCAATGGACCAAGAGATCGTACAACCTAAACAAGGATTTCAAATATTTGTCAGTGTCTAAAAAAAATAAATTCAGCTAAGGTTCCCACTGGTCAAGACGTGTACCCAGTTCACCTTGAACTCAAAATCTGCAACAACAACCTCACCTCTGTATGAATCCAGAACTGATATAACATAGTAAACTGTGCATGGACCAAGAAGATTGGTGTTGGTATCCCAAGAGCCATTGGGAGATAAAACACCTGTAAATAACATAATAATTAAAAATATAACAATAACATACTAAATAACAATGTTAACAAGTATGAAACATGTGAATATTGCTATTGCTTTGCATTGCTATAAATTTTTTCGCCCAATTCAAACCATTGTTCATATTTTCATTTCAGACTTGAATTCTTACAACTGTAAAAACAAAAGTTCTTTTTCCCACAGGATTTGAATTGGGTGGTTAACGTACAATGGCAATGCTTAAGCCCATTAGGTCTATGATTTTACTGGAATTTTTTTAAAACGTTTATTTTGCAATGACCACTGCATTAATTATTATCCTGTAATCTCACTCTTGTACTTACCCAGCTCGTATAGTGCTGTAAAACAGACTGTCTCAATGCTGTACTCAAATTGTAATCTTCTGAGCTGTGATGCACTTGATGGTTTGCCCATAGTATATTAATTTCTAGATTTTATTTAAAAATACATTGTCAACTCTATATGGTAATTTAATATTCATCTCTACATCTAGCTCAATTCTAAACTGTTGCAACATTAGAGCCAATTTTGCTGTTTGGTACATGCATGTATTTACTTTCCAGAGATGATTTAATTCCTAAATGACTGTTATTTTTGGCATATGAGGAGAAAGGCAAGAAAAACTTGCAAATTACACCTCTTGCTGGTCATTAACAGGGAATACTATTTAAGCAAAGACGCATATATAGTCTTATAGGGAACATACAATCATGCAAACAGATTTATTTGTGCAATAGCATACAATGGAAGTGTTCTTGTATTGTGCGAATGAATGTCAAAAAATACTGTATTGAATAATTATGCTTTTGTTTATTGTTGGTACACACAAAGTATGTTACTTTATGTTTTAATAAATAGAGCGGATTTCGTATGACTGGGGAAAAAACACGGAATCTTAGAAGGCACACAATCAATAGTTTGTTTTATATCCTACATTATATTTTCATGCAGGCATACCATGCGTGGCTCGGTGGAACCAATAGTAGAAGAARTCTACGCCAAGGAAACATAGATACCAAGTCCATGGTGAGTCCCAAGGAAGACTAGCAAGCCTGTAGTKATTGTAGATATGACTATAAGCAGCTATTTCAACACTGAACACAATGACCCTGAAAATGACAAGAACAACAATATTAAGTCTATGGCTTTGTTGACTGGATGTGTGGAAGGCATAATGGTTAGAGTGGATTTCGTATGACTGTGCAACTGCACGGATCAGAACACGGACATGGCACAGTCAAGGAACCTTGTCTTCTAGGATTCCAAATGAAAATAAAGATTTAACAATACATATCACGGCTACGGAACAGTACTGTCACAGTATGAAAATAAGGTGTTTTTTGCACATTCATACGAAATCCGCTCTATAGTAATAAGTGTCGACCAGGCTCTACGATTTCCAGGTAGATTTCATGAATATAGATAAGTATAGGGATTACCAAAATTCCCACCCTAGAAACTACCAGCCCAAGCAGTCAAAATCCTGCAGTTAGCCCTAATCCCCTTGGGTTTTACATTGGTTCAGTCACAAGGTACCCTGTGTATATTTTCCTAGTTTGATGGCTTAATGAACAACAATAACCTACTTTGCAAAGAAGTCACCTCTAAGTGGGTACTAACTGGGTTCATGTTTAACTTAGGGAAGTTAGAATACATTTATACTGTATCAAATGTAATGTTGCATCCACCATCATGTTATATATGATTGCTGAGAGTGATGACATCATGTCCCGGGACCACATAACTCATTTGGTAGGAATTCTCGTCATTATCACCCTAACCAGGACCAAAACACTGATTTCAAACCCTAAAAGGAATGACGAGGACCACCTGCCATTTTTTATTAGCCCCGGGCATCATGTACAACAACATTGCATGTGGGGGAGGGGCGGGTGGATGAGGAATGAAAGGTAAGTTGCTTATGATCATTGCATAGTATGATGACATCACGTACAACAACATTGCATGCTTGTGGGGGGAGAGGAGGGGAGATGAGGGAGGGAGGGTTGCGCATTAATATAGCATGGTAAAACATTGCAACTTTTTATTTTGACTATGATTGCAGTTCTTACTTTGTTAACTGCATAAACATCCCTGCTGACAAAGAACTAAAAGCATCATTCAACCTCAACCTGGGCAAACCCATGAAGAAGAGAAGTATATTTTCCAAAATGATCGCACTAATAAACAATGGAATTATGTCATTCAGGTAATCTGGGACATCATTCACTTGTGCGAAAGAAGACTCTGAAGGTGTTAGGGCATACAGGAAAGACCTGATGCCTTGCTCTACTGTTAAGTCTTTGGACAACTGTGGGTAAACAAAAGTGGCAAATTATTAATATTATCAAAAAAGTCAAATTAATCATTAAGGCCAATTTACACTACACGATTTTGACCTACATGTATGACGTTGTATATTATGACTCAAAAGAGCTTGAAGTTGTGCTGTGTAAATTAT